CTCTGCCCGCCGCGGGGCTGCGAGACCTGCGAGGAGTTGCGCCTCGGCCTCCTCCAGCTGCTGAGCCTCCTGCTGCGGCGCTGCGGGGCCTCCATGGCGCCCTACCTCTCCGACGTTACCCGCATCCTCCAGGCCACCCTCCTCGACGACTATGCCGAGGTCAGGCGCGAAAGCTGCAGGTGCGCCGTGGCCTGCGCCCAGGCCATGCCAGGTGGGGCCTGGGGATAGGGGTCCGGCGGGCTGACGTGGGCCTGGAGCCCTCGGGAGGGACAGGGGTTGTGGGGAAGAGCTAGTAGGAGCTCGCAGGGATGCAGCCAGGGAAGAGGAAGAGATACAGAAAGTCACTTGGACCCTTGCAGGTGCACTTTGCAGGGCTTGGAGGATCCATCTGAGAAGAGCTATGCAAGGGAAGGATGTTGAGGGATTACATCCCCAAAGGATGAGATGTGGGTGGCCGTAGGGAAGAAAAGCGCGTGTGGGTTGGTTTTCTACTCCAGTATAGTATAAAGTTAATTTGCATGCTATATAAAGGCAGTGACATTAATGTGGTTGCTGTGCATAGTAGTACATAAATGATGTTATTCAAGAGCTGTCACCCACACGTGGAGAAAAGCGTACTTGAAGTTGCTCTCTCTCTCTCTGCCCTAACAGAGCACTTCCACATGCAGTCAGAATCTTTGATAAGCCCCTTGATGCAAACGATCTCGCACCAGCACTACAGAGTTCGTGTTGATGTAATTCAGGCTACGGGAACAGTGATACAGTTTGGAAATGGAAAGTCGGTGGATGATGTTCTGTCTCATCTGGCCCAGCGATTCTTTGATGAGATTCCTAAGGTGCAGGTTTCCCTCTTTTTCTGGACTTCTTTTGAATCTGACTCGTTTTACTCGATCTCCAGCTTTCTTTTATTCAGCTGGGATATGTAAATATGACACATACAGTCAGTTGTAAACTATCTGAAAGCAGGGTGGATAGCCTGTTCAGCTGCTGCCTAATTCTGCAGATGGCTGAACTGTATAGGCATCTAGGCTTTTTATTTTATGGGTGCCTTCAGTTCTGTCTAAATTCCTCTGCCAAATTTCTCTTGGACTTGGCTCTGTGACTTTTTTGGATGCTTGGCAAACGTTAATGGTATTGGTCCCTTCATAAGATACGATTGCAATAATAACATTCTGAAATGTCCTACTTAATTATAACTAAACTATTTGATTTCCTGAGTGGGAGTATTCACATTAACTTAGATTTCTTTTATAGTGGATGGAGACAGTTGTCTCCTAGTGACATGCTATAAAGGTTCAAATTCCAGAGAAACTGTTAATTCACATTTCTTACGTGCTCATAGAAATCTTCACCAGCAGAATTTAGGGTGTTCTGGGGTAGGTCTGTATCTTGTCTTCCTCCTGAAGATGCGCTCCTGTACAACAAATAATCTAGGATTAACTAAGCCAGAGAAAGAACACAGCAGGGAGTATAGTAACTTTGCACACTACTTAGGATGCTTGCTTCAAATAAGAGAAATCCTAGGTTCTTGACTTTTTTCCTGAGACTATTTGCTCATCTTATCCTAAGTCTTTTCTACCAAAAGCAAATACTTTTTTTTCCTGGTATTTTTGTGAGATATTGAAAATAGCCTATCTTTATTTGTTTGTTTGTTTATTGTAATCGATGTAGGTTCGGCAAGCTGTGACAACTGTCATTGGAGAATGGCTGTTGCACCTACGAGACAGATATTCCTATTTTCACAAGTTGGTACCTTTGTTACTCAGTGGCTTTACTGATGAAATTCCTGAAAACATGTAAGGAGAACACTTTTTATTTCTTTCTTTTTTTCTTCCTCCATTTATGCAGATATCTTATATGGAAGTATTTCTATGCTTACAGGTACCTTATTTGGAAACAAAAATCCTGATTTTCTTGTTTATTTTCTTTAGCCTAGTCATAATAGTATTATGTCCAGTAACTTTTGTTTGAATGCTACATTCAGGTAAGTATGATTATATTCTTCCTTTTAAAAGAAAAGGAGTTGATTTTAAATTTGGTTAGTTTTGTTTTAATTGGCTACTTTATAAGTTCATAAGGAACTTACATTTATATGACCATAATAGCTAGAAATGATTTATAAAAAAATAACTAAAGTGATTCTTTTCATGTGGGTGTAATCATACAATTAAACTTATTTCAGCTTCCTTTATAGTCAGTGGGGAGATTTTTCTGACACAAAGGCTCTGAGTTATCCTTTGGAAGAGGATACCTTTGTCCACTGAGTACATAAGAAGCATAAACACTTAATGTGCCTAAACTGAATGGCAGGAATGGTTTCCAGCCTTTCTGCTGAATATAGGAATTCATATTTTCCAGAGGTCTCCTTTTAGAATTTTTTCCTTTTTTGAGCAAGGTGGTATAAAACTTATATTTTATTCTAGGGAACTGGCTTGGAGTTACTGGGAAAAGATAGGCTTGCAATGGGAGAAAGAGAATGAAGAAGATCTGAAGGATAAGATTGATTTCAGTGTTGCACCATCTCATTATCCCAAAGGAGGTGAGTATTGTACAGAAGTTGTTTTACTTCCCGAATACTTCCTGAAGCTGTGGCACAGCAGTGACAGCAGAGCACAGTGTGTAATATTCATCATGAGATATAATATTTGTTAACATATAAGGGAAGTGTAGTGCTGTTCAGTGGCAAAAGTGATCTTCAGGGGAGAGTACTCGGGCACTAAACTCTATAGTGAGAATGTTTTTTTCTTTTAGTTTTCTGTCCTGTTTCTGGTCCCCCTACAACTCTCGCAGATATTGTAAAAGTACTAATGCTTTTCATACAGTGGAACAGGGGATATGGAAGCAGTGTTTGGGTTTTTTTGTTTGCTTTTGTCTATCTCTGTTTGTTTCTTTTACCTCAAGAAAACAACATACTGCTTCTGCCCAACACGCGCACAATTTATTGAAGAGTATATTAGGAAAATACAATTTTGTTTGTTTGTTTATAAGCAAAGGTGGCCGCCTTTTATTTTATTTCGGCAGACCTAGTGCAACAGCTTGTATTGGTATTTAAATGATTTTCATAGATGGGAGAGAGAATTTCTCCCCTAAACTAATGAGGTCTGTTTCGGTTTTCTAGTTTTCCTTAATGAGAACAGAATTCATCCCTGATATAGACTGCTCCTTTTAGATTTGCATCTAAAGTTAACAAAAACCTTTGTTTTGTTAATGAAAACAGGGAAGGAGGAGAGAGAAGGGAGAAAGCAGCTTAAACTCAAGCTGCTATTAGACTTTTTACTAATTAAATTGTTTTATGGGTGAAGCCATGATGATGATTATCTTTGTCTTTATTTTATGTATAGCAAGCTTTCCCCCTGTACCGCAATAAACACAATGGCACATATGAACCCATGATGTAATTAAGGTTGTCTAGATTTTGCAGTAGGCAAGTTTGACCTAGTGGGCTGGAGAAAGAATAAACACTTGAATGACATGTCACTAATTCAGTAGTTAGAATTTATTTAGAATGCCATTTGTTAGAATGTCAGTACTTCATTCCTGGAAGTGCAGACAAGACAACAGAGAAACTAGGTGCATAACAGGACCTAGAATTAAAAGCTTGCCCCATAAACACTGAGCCATCACGGACTATCGCTGAATAGTCATTTGTGGGTAAAAAAGTAGTAGTAATTCATACAGCTTTGGGAAGGAGTTCCCCCTCTGTAAAAATCATTTCAGTTCTGAAAACAGTCACACTTTTTACTTAAGTAAACTTCAAAATCTGTAAGCAACTGTGTTGTAATTGTAGGTAGAATATTGTAATTGTGCAGAATTTTATTTCGCATAAAACAAGTAAAAGAATACAAGCTTTCTAGCCTTCTGTGAGCTGCTGAAAACGTCTCAGTAATTGAGAGATGAATAGGATTGTAAGTTAGTTGCCTGAAAAGTCAGGAGATAGTCCCCTCACCTTTTATGTTCCCCGTATAAGATTAATTAGGTGTTTAATATTTACCCATTATCCTGAAAAACACAGAATTTATTAAGTGACCTTTTTTTCGGTTATTTGACTTTGGAAATTGTGTCTGTCCATCTAGCTTGAAATTTATTCTGTTGTCACACTTTTTTTAATGTACATAGCTTAGGACTAAGATATTCAAAAATAACTGTAGGTTTATACTTTAAAAAGAAAAAAAAGTACATGCCTTGAGAGAAGTTGTTGCTTTCTTGCCTGCAAAAAATGAAGAATGGAGTTTATTGCCACTTCCAGTCACTAATATATATGAAACTATTTGTTCAGCAACAGCATCCATTTTTTCATTAAATCCCTAAATGCGTTTTGAACGAGAGTAAATCAAAATGCCTGCACTGAAAAAGAGATAAAGACAGTGAGGCAGAAAGCATCAATAACTCCTGCATGAGCCAGCAGCCAGATGGAAAAGGGGCATAGAGATGAGAGGAAGGGAAGGCAGAATTAAGGATCCTTATTAATTGTTTGAGTAATGAAAACAAGACAAAACACTAATGAGCCAAGAAATTGCATGGAAGAAAGATTTGCCTTAACACGGTTTCAAATTCTACTGTAAGACACTAGGTATAAAATCTACCAGCATACATGAAGGACATGGGAATAGAAAGAGTAGTTTCCTTCATTATCCCCAGAAAACAAGATAGACAACACTGACAGATTACTTTTTAGCACCGTGTGATTTGTAGGTAGCTTTTAAATTCTATGTTTGCAGTAGCATGAAGCTTGTTTCCTGTCTCAGGTTCACAAAGTTAATGTTTAAAAACATGCATATGGCTGTTGGTGAGAGAGAGGATTAAAACAGGTCAGTTATTGATTTTTATACTGATACTTAACAGAACAAAAACTCTTTGGGTGTGAAAGAGCAGGTTCACGCTTGACTTGTGCCTACCTGACAATTGCTTCACAGAATCCCCTGCAGCAAAATACTTTCCATGACAGTGGGTTCTGGAGTCCTTTCTCCTTTGAAAATATACTTTCTTAGGATTGTTTTACTCAGTAGTGCTTGAATGAAAGGGGAAGCACTTCATAATAGTAACTGATCTGACAGAACTGTTTCTCTTTGAAGACAGTCAAGTTGATCTGTTATTCTTGCTATAAACTTTTTTTCCTTATTCTACGATGTAAGTTATAATATTACTTTAGGGGACTTGTAAGTCATAAGGATTGCCTTTATTTCCATCAGTGATGGAAGAAACATTTGTTACTAGGTAGATAATTATGTGTATATATATTCTGACATAATGTAAAGTGCTGAAGTTGAGCATTTAAGCCCCATTCACTTATTTTGTAATGGCCATGGTACAGTGTAGGTCATTGATGTGCTTATCCCTTCTAATGACATTGTGACTGATATTCTGCTACTTTAAGGTCACTAAAACTGTCTCAACAGCTGTGAAAAACAGTGCAGTTTGCCTGTACTCAGATGAGTGAAGGAGAGGAAGGATCAGTGAAAGCAAAGGCTTAAAATGCTAGTCCTTGAAACAGTTGTTACTCTTTATATTGCTAATATTGCTATTTTCTATATGTTGTTTGGCTTTTTCCTCTACAGTATGTTTGTGTGTGTGTGTGCGCACGTGCATGTAGACTTTTTTAGAAAGGGGCATCTATCAATTATTTCATTAATTATTTCATTAGCAATGCTAAGCCTTATCATGGAAGTGGAACTGGTCCAAATTATAGTTAACTTTCAAGGGTTTTTTTTTTTTTCTGTTCGCTTACCTATTGTTTCTAGTGCATTTTCCATGCAATTGTTTTGCTAGAACTTTGATAGATGGAAAAGACGTTTACTTCACCAACCAGTCATTGCTTTTGAACTGTCTGAAATAATCTTCTTGGCCTAATAAATATGCTTTACAAGTTTGGGCAACGCTTCAACCCTGCATTTAATTGACTTTTCATGCATTTTGCCAGCTGAAATTGTGCAGTTAAGGCTTAGCTATGATTATATATACATAACTACAGAACGTTTTAAAGAAATGACCTGGTAATTTTGGACTTGAGTCCTGAGTTAATGATAACTTTAAGATATAATTTCCAGCTGCTTATCTTTGCTTCCAAATTGCACCTCTTATTATCACTCAAGCTTTATGGGACAAAAGAGAAGAAAAAATAGGAGAACAATTGGCTACTTAACCTTACAGATAAAAGCTTTGGTGTCGAAGAGCCTACTATGCCTTGGAATTACCAAGTAATAATTTGTGGTGTCTTACTACCATTAGTCTACAGATGAATTGTTATTAACCTCCTCCCCCTGCTTTTTTTCTTTTCTTTTTTCACCTACACACTTCAGGTTTTTGTATAATAGGATAATGATGTGTTTCAGCACTTTGTCACTATTTCTTCTGGCTTACAGCTGAGTATTCAACATCCAGGAATATCTTTTTACAATTCTGATTTATAGTACATTTTACTTGACTATCTTTTTCCTGCTCTTAACATGACACTGTGCTTTGATCTCATGATGACAGATATTGCAGGTCAGAGGAAAAGTAGAGGCAGACCTCACTTTAGGTGCCATCCAACCAACTGAACAGCTTTCCATTGGGCAACAACAATCATTGCCTTAGGATACAGGTGCAGACAGTTTATAGCAGGGAGGTCTTTGACGGGAGTAGCTACAGGGGTAAATGTCTGTATTTAAATACCTGAAACGAAGGAACTGCTGATAAAGAACGGTCCAAATTCTTTAAACAAAATCCTGCCTCAGGTCAAATAGGATGCCAATCTGTGTTTGTTATCTCAAGTTGATTTCTTTATTTGATTTTTTTACTATTCATTGTCAGTTTTCATAATTCAAAGCAGCTATTCATGTCCTGATATTTGCATTTTTTTTTTCAACTCTAAGTATCTCATAGGCCTTTTTTTTAAGCCTTTTGTATTTGTAATGCCATTTACTTCAGTCAGTTTTCCTCTTAGCATTTGTAGCTACAAGGACCAATGCAGGAAAATATTCTGAGATAACTCAATCATTTCCTTTCTGAGAATTTACAAGGAGAACTCAATATCAGAACTATGATGTGTACTGGCACGTTCAGTGTGTCTTTTTCATAGCTCAGAATGAATAATCTTTCTCTTAAAACAGTATGTGAACATAGCAGGTGGCAGTAATAAATTTCTTCATTTTTTTAAGAGATTTTTGTGTGATTTTTTTTTTTTTTGTAAACAGATACAGTTTTGAAAAAAGTCTCAGCTGTAGAAAAAGTAATTGAAAAAAGTCAACTGCAGTTCTTTGGAAAGCACTGACATAGTCTGATGTGTAAATTGCAGCAATGGTGGCACAATAGTTGCTTGTCATATTGGTCAGGTTGCTTCTCTGAGTCTCGGTGATCTATAAATGAGCTAAGATGCAAGTCTGATAATTACCAGACAGAACAGTCAACATTTGATGGGAAGTTAGATTTATTAGTTCTCTAGAAATCTGTAGACTCTACAAGGAATATGTATTTGTAACAATAATTTAAAAAAAAAAAAAACCAAAAACACAAATCTTCTCACTTTTCCCCCTTTCCAACCCTTGCATAAAATATTGTATAGTGAGTTGGACCAGGTTATCTCCGGAGGTCCCTTCCAACCTCAACTATTCTGATTATCTTTGATTTCATTTTGAAGTGTGTTAATATGCAAAGCAGACAGAGATTAAAGAGATGCGTGAGCACGCACTACTTTTTTTTTTTTTTAAGAAAAGCATTTTAACCATAACTACTACAGAATCTGCTTGCTGAACTATCAATTTTATTGGCCCAGTCTGTTACACAGTACTCATGCGAGTAGTATTGCACACTACCCATACAAGTAACAGTATGGGATAGGGTTAAACAGAAATAGTTAAATTGTATTCCATTATAGGTAGTTATATCTGCATGAAAATGTCCATATTGCTTCTTCCCCTACTCGTACAGGATAAGATTTTATGCTGTCATAGTTATTACTTCACAAGGCAGCTAGAGAAAATTATGTAGTAGTTTCTTTAAAGGGATAGAACTCTTCTTAATAGACAAGACGTTGGTATTTAGAAAGATCTGTGCAGCTGCTTCCTGTGTATGTATTCTCCTGTAGAGACCATTAGGACTCAGATTTTCTTGTGAAGATTTGTTGTGGTTTCTTTTTTCATAACTATTGAGGACTTTTTAAGAATGGCTTTAGTAATTTTTAATTTCCTATTTCAGTGCCTTTTTCATAGCTTCTTGTTTTCACATCCAGTATTGCAGACTGTTCTTTGGCTGATAACCTCCCTTTCTACTTTCAAATTGCTAGATATACTTTCAACCTTTTCCTTTACAGGGCATAATTGGCACCCTCTGTTTTTTTGCAGTTCATATCCCTTGTGCTATTTGTGACTTCTGCCTTTTTTCTTTTCTTCAGATTGTGTTTAAGTCATTAATTATAATCTGGAGAAAATTTGTGCTTCTGTAAGGATTAAAAGGAAATTATTAAACTGCATTTTCCAAAGTGGGTGAAGTCCCATGTTTAAGTTCTTTTCCTCTTCCCTTTCTATAAACATCTTTAAACACATATCTATTTATTACTGTATGGTGATTTAGATCAACCTTTCTGAGAGTTGTGTGGAGTCTAAATTTTGCAACACGTATTAAAGACAATGCAGCTTGCACAGGTAAAATCTCAGCAGCGGTTGGAATATTTGTTCCATGCTGACGCAGATGATTGCACTCATCACGGTCTTTGACCTTTTCTAAGACTTGATGTGTGTTGGCTTTCCTTTAATAACGTATTTTTATTTTTTCGTAGTGACTCGACCAGGAGTAGGATGTCGGGAACTTGTTTCAAGAAACCTCTCCAAAATTCTTCCAGGTCTCTGTCATGATATAACAGACTGGGTTGAAAGCACAAGAATAAAAGCATCTCAGCTTCTGTATATATTACTGTTACATACAGAGGATCACATAACGCAACACATGGAGCTACTGCTTAGAACTTTGTACCGAGCATGCATGGATGAAAAAAGTGATGTGGTTAGGAATGTAAGTTTACTCTGTTTAAATACCTACAGTCTTTCAAATAAAGACCCCATCCTTAATAGTTCTGAGTATGTCTTCTGAGTATTGACCTTACCTTAGCTCACTGGGAATTGCCTGTGCCTGAAGTATCAGGCTCAAGTTTTAAAAATATTTTTATGCATGTTAAACATGTGGATATTGCCTATACTATGCGGAAATAAATATATACTTGTATTATTGGTATGAAGATCAATGGCAAAGTTATTAAAATACTGTTAAGCTTCACACTAACCCTGTGAAGCAGTGATAATGAATGACGTCATAAAAATCATAAGCAGCAGATTAAAGTGTAAAAGCTTTGGGGCAACAAATTCCGTTTTAAAAAAAAAAAAAAAAAACAGAAAAAGTGGTTCATGCCCTTTTTAGTTAGTTTTACTTGCCTCTTCCTAATACATAATCCAAACCATAAATCCAGCCAAACATATGTTTATTCCATGTGATATTTATATTCAGTGTTTGAATACTTCGGTTGCTACTTGTAAAATGGTTTTTTTTGGATTTTTTTTTTTTGGGGGTACAGGAATAGTCAGTATCCTTTTTTTCTCTAGTAGTTTATCAGACAGTTGATGCTGTCAACACTTTGGTTGATAATAAATCAGTAAAACATCCGTAATTGAAGATACTAGATAAATTTATCAGAGAATATACAGGTGATGCACATTTTCTTTGCAATTTTAAGAAAAAAATCTTCTACTCATAGCTCTATATGAGCAAGAGAACATATGTATAACCAAAGACTCTTGTAATTTTTTTTTTTAAGTAGCGAATGTTATTGTTTTGGGAAATGAGTAGAGTGTGTTCTACATACTGAATGCGAGTAGTCCAACCAAAAAAAC